CAAGAAAAACGAGAAGTAATTCTTCTGCTTTACTCTACACGGATTAGGCCTCAAGTAGAGTATTGTGTCCAGTTCTGGGCACCACATTTCAGGAGAGAGATGTGGACAAATCTGAGGAAGTCCAGAGAACAAAAATGATTAAAGGTCTGGAAAATGTGACCGATCAGGAAGATTGAGTCACAGAATACTTGAACTGGAAGGGCCCTGAAGAGATCATCAAATCCAGTCCCCTGCCCTCATGGCAGGACCAAGCACTGTCTAGATCAGTGGTTCCAAAACTTTTGGGGCTGCCGGGCGCCTGGGGGTGGGGCCACACATGTGCCCGGGGGCAGGGCCACCCATATGTTGTACTGCCGGGGCCGGTGCTGCTCCTGTGCCACATGCCTGAGGCGGGGACACCCATATGCCACCCACCTGGGGCTGAAACAGCTGATGTGCTGCAAGCCCCGGGGCTGGCGCCACTCCTGTACCGCATGCCCAGGGGCGGGGACACCCATATGCCGCACGCCCAGGAGCTGGTAGCGCCCATGCACCGCGCACCTGGGGCTGGCACCACTCCTGTGCCACATGCCCAGGGGCCAGCACAGCCCTTGCGCTGTGCACCCGGGGGCAGGGCCACCCATAAGCTGCACGCCCAGGGGCTGACACCGCCTACACGCCAGGGGGTGGGGCCGGCCCCGATCACTCGGCGGGCGCACAGAAATGGCCTGGCGGGCGCCATGGCGCCCACGGGTACTGCGTTGGGGACCACTGGTCTAGATCATCCCTGACAGGTGTCTGTCTAACCTGCTCTTAAATATCTCTAGTGATGGAGGTTCCACAACCTCCCTAGGTAATTTATTCTAGTGCTTAACAACCCTGACAGGAAGTTTTTCCTAATGTCCACCCTAAACCTCCCTTGCTACAGATTAAGTCCATTGCTTCTTGTCTTATCAGAGGCCAAGGAGAACAATTCCCACCCCCTCTTCCTGTGACACCCTTTTAGATACCTGAAAACCGCTATCATGTCCCCTCTCAGTCTTCTCTTTTCCAAACTAAAGAAGCCAAATTTCTTCAGCCTTGCCTCATAGTTCATGTTTTCTAGCTCTTTAATCATTTTTGTTGCTTTTCTCTGGACCTTCTCCTACATCTGTCTTGAAATGCGGTGCCTAGAACTGGATACATTACTCTGACTGAGCCCTAACCAGCGCAGAATAGAGCGGAGGAATGACTTCTCGTGTCTTGCTCACAACACTCCTGTTAATGCATCCCAGAATCATGTTTGCCTTTTTTGCAAGTGTCACGCTGTTGACTCATATTTAGCCTGTGGTCCACTATGACCCCTAGATCCTTTTCTGCAGTGCTCCTTCCTAGACAGTCACTTCCCATTCCGTATGTGTGAAATAGATTGTTCCTTCCTACGTGGAGTACTTTGCATTTGTCCTTATTAAATTTCATCCTATTTACTTCAGACCATGTCTCCAGTTTGTCCAGATCCATTCTGAATTATGATCCTATCTTCCAAAGCAGTTTCACCAAGCTGGGAGGGGTTATCATCTGCAAACTTAATACACATATTCTCTGTTGATGAAGATATTGAACAGAACTGGTCCCAAAACAGACCCCTGCAGAACGCTACTTGTTATGCCCTTCCAGCATGACTGTGAACTGTTAATAACTACTCTCTGAGAATTGTTATCCAGCCAGTTATGAAGAACTGAATTTGTTTAGTCTGGAGAAGAGACAACTCAAAGGGGAATTATGATCCTATCTTCCAAAGCAGTTTCACCAAGCTGGGAGGGGTTATCATCTGCAAACTTAATACACATATTCTCTGTTGATGAAGATATTGAACAGAACTGGTCCCAAAACAGACCCCTGCAGAACGCTACTTGTTATGCCCTTCCAGCATGACTGTGAACTGTTAATAACTACTCTCTGAGAATTGTTATCCAGCCAGTTATGAAGAACTGAATTTGTTTAGTCTGGAGAAGAGACAACTCAAAGGGGCATGATAACAGTTTTCAAGTACTTAAAAGTTTGTTATGAGGAGGGAGGGAGAAAAAAAAAAGCATTCTCATTAACCCCTAAGAATAGGACAAGCAGCAACGGGCTTAAATTGCAGCAAGGATGGTTTAGGTTGGATATTAGGAAAAACTTCCTGTCAAGGTTAAGTACTAGAATAAATTGCCTAGCGAGGTTGTTGAATCTCCGTCATTGTCTAAAATCTCCAGAGATGGTCTAGAACAGGGTGTCTATAAGTGGCCTGTGGGCCTGACAGTTGGCCAGGATTAGCCTCTGGTGAGGCTATATTTACCTATGCATCCATAAATACAGCTGCCTGCTGATCCCATTGGCAGAAGATCACTGTTCCCAGCCAATGGAGCTGTGGGAAGTTGTGTCCTGATTCTTACCACCTCCCATTGGCCAGAAACAATGATCTGTGGCCAACAAGAGTTGCAAACTCAGAAAACACCCAGAGACAGTTACAGCTCATAAAGGAAAGAATAATTCATGAGTTTGAACCAAACCACCCACTATTTAAGAGACTGAACAACTATCTACACTACAGTCAAGCAGGACCCTGCTACAACATGGTACCTCCTGGCTCGAGCGATACACAGGGCAGCCTAATAACTTAAATGGAACCAAGTTGGCAAGGACTCTGCTCAAACCTATGTCCTTGAACACTTTTATGGCGTAACCATGCCTCAAACTATGCATAAGAACGGCCATACTGGGTCAGACCAAGGGTCCATCCAGCCCAGTATCCTGTCTGCCAACAGTGGCCAATACCAGGTGCCCAATAGGTCATGTGATCCAACCTGTCTCCTATTCCTAGCTGGTTGGCAAACAAAGACTAGAGACACCAACAGCTATTAGCAGGGATGATGGACCTATCCTCCATGTATTTATCTGTAACATGCCTGGGACCTCTCATCAATTTTGCTTCTTCATATGGGAATCTTAATACATCTAAACCTGCCCATTCCCCCAGCGGGTGGGGGGGGAGGAGAGAGGGTGGTAGGTGGATGGCCGAGCCAAGCCAAGCCAGTCTCCCTAGCATTAACATGTGGGGAGACTTAACCCTTCAAGCAACACAGCCCTAAACTCCAAGGCAAAGTAAGGTTTCTGGCCCATTGCTGGCACCACTACCCCTCACCTGGGAAATGAAGCCCTGGGGCAAAGGGACATCTCCAGAGGACTTTCCTGTGTCATGAAGGCTCTCGCTCCGGGCACGCCACGACTCCAGTTGTTCCCTCAGGGACTGGACCTGCACCAGGAAAGCAGAACAACATTGACTCCGCCATGAGAGAAAAAGCTCCGATTTGAAATTAGCCACCTGTATCTCAGCCAGAGGAGTCTCAGCCAGAAGCTTGGGGGCGAGGCCAGTCAAAGGTGACACTTTATGGGCACTCCTTTATCCAGGGAAAGGAGTGGGCACCCGGTGGGACAAACCCAGCAAATGGGCAGCTAAGAGTGAGCCATGCTGTCCTCTAGAGTGGGGTGGGCAATATTTTTTGCCAGGAGACCACCCCCCACAGAAGAGGCAGGGCCCATGGGCTGTATCTTGCCCATCCCTACTCTAAAGGCAACATGCTGGTAGCATCTGGCACAAGCGGTTCACGGCCATCACTAGCAACACACTCACTGCTGCCGCAGCTTAGTTCATCAGGTTAACCTCCTCTTTGGAGGGGCAGGACAAGAGGACTGGGCATCCCCAGCATAAACAGGCTCAACTCCAGTTAAGCCAATGGCATTGCAAAAGTGTATATTGAGCTTGGCCTGGGGTCTTGGATATGTGGATAAAATGCTCCTCAAATGTGGGTCTCAAGGAAGGGTGTATCAACCTGCTGTAGAAGCAGGAGTTCTTCTGACCCAGTGGTGGCAAATGGGGCTGCTTTCCCTTCCCACAGAGGGCTGGAGATGGGAGCAGTTGGCGTAACAAGGGGCTTCCTGTGTCCCCGGCACTTCAGCCAACTCCTCTGCAGAGGCCCTGGCTTAAAGTCTGGGAATAAGGGGGAGACACCATCTCACAACCTAGGTAGGAGGAAGTGAGGCCTCAAAACCAGACAGCTCTTACCTCTTTCTCCAAAGCCTCCCTTGTGTCACCATGGCCCCCCTTGCTCTGGTTCAGGAGCGTCATCAGGGGAATGCGCTTAGACTCCTTCAGGGGCAGCCGTTCCAGCTCCAGCCACTTCTTCTCAATTTCTTCATTCAGTCGACTGCGCTGGTCCTCGGACAGGGCAGGCCCCAGTGGCTCCTGCTCGCACGCCTTCCAAGAGAGGGCCCCTGCTGGACTGTCACCCTGCAGGACCCCAGGGTCAGGAGCCTCAAACCACTTCCTCCTTTCCTCAAAGCGCAGAGCCTGGTCCCGTTCCAGGTCCTCCTGCTTGGTGGCTCGGTCAGAGATCCCCTTCAAACTGCCTCTTGTCCGTTGCGGGGACCCCTGATTCAAGGGAGACAGCTCCACGTAGTCAAAGACGTGGCGCGGCCCATCTGCCTTCCGGTTACCGCCCTTGGAGATAACCTCTGACCCCAAGCCTGGCCACTGCTCCTCTGATCGGAGGGATCCTTTCTGGGACACGCAGCTGCGGAAGGAGTTTTCCTTATTGCAGTCAGACAGCCTGAGAATCAGAGCACGAAGGCATGAGAGACACGCAGCGCCGGCAGGCACTGTGCCAACAACTCACACAACGCTCCTGCCAAGGCCCTGCAAACCTGACCTCTGGCCACACCCCTGGCTTATTCCAGTCCGAGGAACATCCCAAGCATGGCCAGCCTGTCAAGCCAAACTTCCCAGTGGCTTTGTGACAGGAACAGACTTCTTGTAGAGAGGGCAGAACCAGGCCCAGTTCTAGCAACATGCATTTTGATCAGAGCTTGAGTACCAGTCTCTAGAACAGAGCCCTCCAGCTGTGCACTTTTGAGTACCAGTCTCTAGAACAGAGCCCACCAGCTGTGCACTCGAGTGCCCCCCTTTGCCGTAATGGGACTCTCCCTGGTCCCCTTGGGTGTGCAAGGAGAAAGGCAAATTCAAGCTCTGTGTTGCCTGTTTCTTCAGACTCTCTTATATGACATAAAGCTGGTGCAGGGACTGGGACACTGGGAAGCAGCCAACCATCGCCCCCACACTCTTCAAAGGATCTGCTTTTAAGTCACCCAGCAGGGCCCTGAGTACCACACCCCCAAGTTCGTCCTCCCACACTCACCCACTGACACGGTCAGACTGCATGCCCCCAGGATACCCTCATGTGTATCACTGTTGCAAGCAAACATGACTGGCAAAGAAGCTCCTCCCATGCCCAGGTGGGAGTGGGAAGACAAGACCCCTTCTCCCATTCCAGAAGGGACTGCCTGCTTGTGGCCAACATGCTGACACAGAGGGTGGCCCGAGCCACCTGGGTGGGGGGGAGGGGGAGGAGGAGGAGGATGTTTCCAGATGTACTTACTTTGTGACATCTGGTGCAGTGGCTGGGCGCACGTTCTTCCTCAGCGCCTCGATCCAGTTCCGCCGGATCCCAGAGGTCATTGCTGACAGGGTGAAGGTGGAGTCCTTTGTCTGAAAGGGAGATGTCAAAGGGGGCTCAACCCACCCTCCCTGCTGACATAGCACAACATAGCAGGCTACAGCCTGGAAGAGGGGAATTACCCACTCACAGGGCGTGCCTCCAAGTGGAGCTGGGAGAAACCTGCCTTCCAGAGTTGGAGAACAGCCACCAACAGGGTCTCAACAGCCCCTCTCTGCTCTCCTGTCACAATGCTAGAAGGCCCCCTGAACCTCAGGGGCCAGATCCAGGCAAATTGGGGGCTGCCTTCAGCTCCCAGCCCTGAGGTTCCCCCACCCCTGTTCTAACCCCAAGCATCCCTGTATCACTTCAGAACTAAGCTACACGCACACAGCTCAACTCCTGCCCACAGAAATGAATGACTTGTATTACAGCAGCTCCTAGAAGTCTTGCCCCCATTGTGCCAAGTACGGTACAGAGAACATGACCAATTGTAAGACTTTCAGGGCAGGGACTAAGTACATTATGAGATACACCAGGTGGATCAGAGCTGGTGTTGGTGCTGGTGGTGAGAATATACAAGGTAGCAGAGGATTACAATCAGTGGAATAAGTAGCTGGCATGCTGTGACATTGGTCACAAGCTGACACTCTTGGTAGCAGGTGTACTGATAATAGCACAGGGCAAGAGTACCCAGAAGTTCAGGACAGAAAACGACTGAAGAAAAACTCCATTTCTAGCTGTTCCACTAAAACTGCACAAAGGAGGCAAAAATCTAGTTATCCAAGTTGGAATTAGCCTGGGTCTTTTGGGTTAACGCTCCTGTGCTTGCAAAAATTGCCACAGGGTCACAAGCACTCAGGATCCGGGATGGTCATCGCCTCTGAGAGCAGCACACCCTGAAGTAGCCTGGCAGCTCCTCACATCCACCTGGAGGACAGCATTCACTAGAGATGGACAAGCATTAGCTACATCCTGCAGACCTGGATATCCTTGGAGGTCTCCCATACAAGACCCGACAAGCCCTGACTCTGTTTAACTCACAAGCTCCAACAGGAGCCCAGCATAAGTTTGCATGGCTGCAGGTACTCACGTGTATCTGAAAGCCATAGTTGCGTTGCACGGCATATTCCGTCACGTCTGTGCAGGAGCGCAGGTCAATCTCCCCATCCAGGTCATCAGCCTGAAAGAAGCCCCAGACCACCCGTGAGTCTCTGAGCAAGCCCCTTGCCGTTTCCTCTATGCCACCTGTACCCCAGGTGGAAGCCTGAAAGCGTCTCTGTGCTTCACGTTCAGACTATGGCCCCACAGAGCATCTTTCCCAGCTTTGCTGGAGCTGAAGTCCCACATTCTAGTCTTCATTTGTCTTGGTGCCTTTTCAGACCCAGGCACCCAGAGGTGGCCACTAAGCTATCTAAAGCAGCTTTGCCACCCTACTGCAGTCCCATTCCACCAGGAGTAAAGCACCCTCCCCTCTGGAAGGAAGCAATGCAGCTCCAAGGGTCCCCCCACAACACCCCAGGGAAAGAACCCACAGATCAAGGTGCACATCCTATTCTTACCTCCTCAGCGTTGGAGTCCCTGTAATATCTCAGGCTTGAGTCCGTCAGCACAAACCAGTGTTTCTTCCACTGTGGACAGAACAGCGAAGAGGACAGGAGAGACGGGGGGGAGGGGGGAGCGAGCAGACTAGTTTACCAAGGAAACATGTTGAACGGGGGAGGGTATTCTGCTTCCTGACCATCCACCCCTTTTGCTCAGAGGGCAGCTTCCAAGTCTGACTGCTCCCTTCCTCCCTCAAAGATGCCTCCTCCCCTGTTTCTGTCAATCAGCTGGGAGAGGAGCATCCAGAGGAGTCTGATGGACAGTGTGATGGCGACTGGACTGCACACAACAAATGAGGCACCTGAGCCAGAGAATCTCTTTGGCAGAGCACGGCCACAATGGGAGTGCCTAAATCTGCAGCTCTTCGCCAGGTTTTCCCAGACAGGGACTCGGTCAATGGAGAAGCAAGCTTCTGGGCATACAGGGGTCTTCGATAGGGACTGGTGAGGAGAGACCCCTCTGGGTATTATGCGCCTAACATCCACCTTACCTCTCCCAGCTCATCCAGTATGGACATCCACCCCTTCTTGAAATTGAGGAGATCCGGCTGGGGAGAGATAGACAGGGGAGGGGGTTAACAACTCATCTTGAAACTCAATAGTTTGATGGTCAGGAATGACATAGATTCCACAACTCCAGGTCTAGCATGGACCTATGGAGGAGGGGGGGAAAAATGGATCCCCATGGTACAAACATGAGCAAGCCAGGACAGTCCACCATCCCTCTCTCCAAACCCATGTGGATTTAGTACCAAATAAAAGAGGAGATGGGTCCCCATATAGTGAACGGTAGACAATGTTCTCTCTAATTTTTTCCATCCATGTGCAGAATAAATTTTATTACATGCACCAAGGTATATATGGACATGCACCACCAGCAGAAACACATGCTGCTGGCTGTGGGCACTCGACTGATCAGCTGGGCAGCATGTGAATCTCTCCTGGGTGGACACCTAAGCACTCAGCTTAAAGGGAACACTGGCAGGCATTCCAATAATTATAATTAATTATATTATATTATATTATAGGATGGGTTGAAGTAACTAAGGTAGGCAGGCTCAGGGAAGTTTCCACGAGATGCTTTGTGGACATTTATTCAGGATTTTTTAAGATGGGGAGGGAGGAAAAAAAAATTCTTGCATGGCCTCTGACTGGGCTCGGTTTGGAAAGGAGTTTGGTCACAAACCTAGCAAAACCCATTCCAAATCCAGCACTGCCCACAAGCCCTCGGGCCAGGCTTTGCCACCAACCGCGGATCACTGAATAAAGGCAGGAACCACACTACTGCCCAGACTGTGCACGAGGTAAGTATCAGCGCTGTTTAGCAGACGGGGAAACACGCAATGTTAAAACAACTTGCCCAAGGCTTGCTCACGACCACAGGGCAAGTCAGAGCCAGTGCTCGACTCCAGGAACAAACTCCTCTTTCTGAAATGCAGACGGTTGTTTCTGGGCCACGGAACGCCCTCCTCCCCCACACACACACTTCCTGACTGCTCCCCCAGCCTCCCCACCCCACACAGCATGTGCAAATGCTATTCCACAGCATTATTCCACAGCACTGACACCCAGGGGAGAGGAGGTGCCACCCCCTCCAAACCTCACCCTGCTGCTGCAGCGCAACCAGTTCTGCCTCTCATGTTAGGGCTGGAGCTGCAGGGCAACTGCTTTTCCTGGCTTTCCTAAGCCAGGTGGGCCAACTCCATCGCACCTTTAGCACCGGGGACTTCAGGGGAGCGACATCAGGGACGAATGTGGCTCAGTGGCTGTTTTCACTAGCCCAGTTACCACCACCCATAGATGCCCCCGCACCCGTTCATTCAAGCCCCAGTAACTAAACTTAGCCAGCCAGCATTGGCGAGAAGAGGTATTGGAGCTGTACCTGAGAGGCCTCTGTACCAGGTCTGCCAGCCTGGGATAGGCTGCTGCCGAGTGTCCCTAACTGCCACATGCTCCACCCAGGAAGGAGGTAGTGGAGGGAGCAGCTGAGACAGGCGAGTACTTAGTGCTCCAAGAGCTTCTGATTAATCCAGGAAACATCCACCTGGTGCCAACTGGCCGCATAAGCCCAGCTCTCTCGCAGCCGGACTGGGTGAAGCTTTCTCCTGTTTCATCTCCCAGGGCTGAGCTCTTGGGTTACACCCAAGGTTACAGTGACAGAGTTCAGGCCTGCCCCAAGCCCAACCAGCCTATTGGCTGAAGGGGCGGGCCACCTGTTATTACAGCTGCAGGCCCATCCTATCACCGTCTCCCCAGGCTGGGAAGGTCCAATTGCAGGGACGGGATATGCCACACGGGAGCAGAGACTTGGAAACTGCAGCCAGGTGACCCATGCTGCCACTTCACCTCTGGAACCAAGGCAGCAGGGTAGGCAGAGGTGGCTCAACACACCCTGCCACCTTAAGGGGTGTGTCAGGGCGCTGCTCACTCCCCTCCTGCTACCAGCAGGCACCCTGTACACATTAATAGCTGCTTAACATAGCTGCCAGGTTTGTACAGCAGGGGTGGCAGCAGGGGGTGAAGCCTCAAGCAGGTAAGGAGCAGAGACCAATGCTTGGGGGCCTGAGGGGTGAGAAGAAACATTTCAAAGAACGGATACAAGGGAAAATCTGGTCCACATGGACTAGACCATCCTAGAACACAGGGGGAGCTGCAATGGGCCAGAAAGGGGGCCCTTGACATGCAGATGGGGAAGGGAGCCCTACACAATAGACGAGTGGAAGAATGGAGGGGGAAATACAGGGTCACTGAAGTCATAATCCGAGATGGGGAGGGGGCAAGGAAAACAGGAGCAATTATAGGGCAGGCAGGGTGGGAAGATAGGACACAAGGGCAGGATTCTAACAGCATGGGGGCTGAAAGGTCGGGAGGGGGGAGAGGGCAGGACCCAGCAGAGGGGGATGCCTGAGGGAGATGACAGACCCTGGTGTCAGGTTTAGAGGTACAAAGACTGCAGGTGTGTGGGGAGAGGCCTGTCCCTTCTCACAGCCCCACTCTCAAAGGTCCAGATTCTCCCCTCACTCCTGACCTTACCCCCCATGCTGATGAGCCAGGGGCCCTCAAGCAAGAGGCCCATCCTGTTTTGCCAGATTCAGCCAGTCCCCGCAGCAACCAGCAGGTTTGTCTGCCAGCATACTACAGCGCAGGACTGGGATGCTGGTCAGCTGGCCATGGCAGACTCTCGCCCAGACAGATTACTCAGAGCAAGAGAAAGCGAGCGTGCATGCATGTATACACACAGACTGGAGTGGGCAATAATTTTGGATGGGGAGCCACTCCAAGAATTTGTAAGTGGTGAAGGGCTGCATTTTTCCTATGATATTAATGTAGGGTCTTGGGAGTCTGGGATGGAGATTGGGTGCTAAGAGAATCTCAGAGTAGAGGACGGGATAGGAGGGGGTGTGGGATGGAGTTGTAACCTTAGGCAGGAGTGTGGAGTGTTTGGATAGTGACCTGGGGCAGGGGATGGGGATGCAGGAGGGGATTCTGGCCTGGGGGAGGGGTGCAGAGTCTGGGAGGGAATTGTGACCTGGGGCAGGGTTGCAGTGTTTGGGTGGTGACCTAGGGCAGGGAGTTGTGGTGTGGAAGGGGGTAGGTTGCCAGGTACATGCGCTGACCAGGAGAAGCTTACCCATGGTAAGTTCCTGGCCAGAAGCCCAGTAGACTCTTGGGCAGCTCCCCTGCCAGCAGCAGCCCCACATGTTGCTCAAAGTGGCTGGCTGCTGAGGCCATCGCGTGCATCTCCGTGTGCTGCCCCCATCCCCGGCACAATCCTTGCAGCTTGTATTGGCCAAAAACTGGCTGATGGGAGCTGCTTGGACAATGCTTGTGGGTACAGGCAGCACACAGAACCCTCACCCCATGAGGGGCATGAGCCACACAGAAACACATGCTGGCTCCAGCAGACAGCTGTTTTGTGTGGGGCTGTGGGATGTTGGTGGCCCTGGGCCGGGGCATGTTGGTGGTCCTCAAGATTATGGTGGGTCGGATTCAGCCCATGGGCTGTAATGTGCCCTTCCCTAACACAGACAATTGCTTTTTGGCCCTTCTGCACCCTCTCTGGTTTGGGGCAAATAAAATGGGAGACAGAGAGAGAGCAAGACCCTAGTTAGCTGATGAACAAAAACACAAAGGATTGGGCACTGGGCACGGGAGGCAGAGAGGAGCAGGAAGACTCTGGCATGGAGCAAATGGGAAGCCATGCCACTTACCTGGTTGCTGTCTACCCAGGGGAGGCACCTGATCCTCATCCAAAGATAGCTCACCGGGGACCAGACCAGGGATGTTAAATTGCGTTTAATCAGCTAATGGATGGAATTTCCATCTATTACTTGATTAGTCGATGGGGGGGTGGGGGAAATACTGCAGAGCTACAGCAGGGTTAATTAACCCATGCTGCAGCTCTGCCTTTTAAATGTATTAAAAGCCGCCGGGGGGGGGGGGGGGGGGG